AATGAAATGTGACCAGCGACCTTGTGACTCCTGTGTTGTATAACAAGATAAAAAGTACTTGGGATTTGTGGATTGAGCCTTTTCTCATTTGTCTTCCAGAGGTCAAAGTCTACTGCACACAGTGACTGATACAACCCCCCATGTAAGTCAGGCAGGGCTGCCTGTGTGTCAGGCACTAAAAGCAGGACAGTTCTTGCAAGAACACCTTGGAAGGTGTTTGTGTGGATTTCTCTGTGGTCCCTGTGGTGATCCAAGGAAGCAGGAGGAGATCCAGAACTGTCTGAAAGCCCAGAGCCGGGACTCTTTGAAATCCCAGACTAGTAACAAGAAACTTGGCCAAAGTTAACCTGCTGCCTGCCTCCAGTGCTGCTTCTTATACGTATCCAAGAAGCTCCCTCCTCTTTATGATTGCACTCTAGTAAACAATTTTTCATGCAGATATGGGCAGCAAATGTTACTCCTGCTCGAGTGAACACCTCAATGTGTTTACAACAGCGATTTTCCTCAGATCCAGTCCTATTAAACAATAGAGGTAGCCACCAGAAAGAGGTCCCACTGCTTACAGCTGTTCTGGTACAGCTCACTCAAAACACTTTGAAGGGTGATCATGTCATCCCTCTTTGAGCACTTGAGGGGACTGACTCACAAGTATGAGCAAAATAACATTAGATGGTTTAAGTGGCTGCAGCCCCAGCTGTGTCCCCACTGCCCAGTTCCCAGAAGGGCTCATCCCTCAGCTGCAGAAGGCAACTCCTGAGCTGCTGTCATGACAGCCCATTCTTAAGGATGTTAATACTTGTCTGGCTCCTCAGGAAGCCTAACCAGATAAAAATGAGCACTTTTTCATCTGAATAATTGCTTTTTAGTTTAATTTCTCAAACAGGTTCAGAGAAGCACCAGTGCTGCTGTGAGGGCAGGGCAGAGGCAGGCACAGGCAGAGATGACCTTCCCTTTCAGAAGCAGCTAGCCATTATGTCAGTTTTGCTGCCTCACAAAACTATGCCCTATGGTTATTTCTGGTGCTGGGCTGCCTTAGTTTTCTAGAGAGTGACTGAAGGATTAACACAGTGTTCTTATGGCATTTGGAAGTTAAGTTTCAGGAGGGAAAAAACCATCTCAATTGAGCATGTGCTAATATTAGGTAGCAATGCTTAAATTGTTAGGAGTGGGAAAGGTAAGTGTACGGTACCCATTTCTACAATTCAGTTAGGGGGTTAAATCCTTTCTTTTCCCTTTTGCTGCTTTTTAAGACCTCTAACCCAAAATCTACTATTCATCTGTCTCTAGAGAAAGGAGTCTTTCAAGAGACCAGCTTTGAACCTATAAATAATATACACAGTGAGTACAAAAATAGAGTCAAGGAGAGGCTCCACCTTACCTGAAGATAACTGCAAAGGCCGGTTGTGAGCTGCACCCTGGTCAAACAGGAGGCTGCAGGGAGCACTAGCACCCTGTCATCCATCTTGAGTAAACTGCTTCTGAGATCTACATCTTCCTCCAACATCTGAATAGCAGCTGCTAAATCATGACTGCATTGCACTGAAATACATTAGATTTCAAGGGATAAATGTATCAAGGTCTTGAATAATATTGCTATAAACATACTTGGAACTAAGCATCTGCTTGAGTGCGTTGTTAGTTGGATGTGTTGGGGTACAGAGCCTGAACCTTGCTGTAAATGAAAACCCTGTGGCAAAAAATATGTAAATAAATGCCACACTTTGTCTGAGAGCCCTTCCCAGTATCCATAAATATGGTAATTTGGATGTTTCCCACTTTTGAGTTTTAAATAGGAGACAGGCACAAGAAATACAAAGAGAGCATTTTTCTTTTCATGGATTAATTTTATAGCTTCAGTTTCAACTTACCTGAACACACTTAATGGAAATGAAATGTAATGTCTTAAAAGCGGATTGCCTATGAAAGGAAATTATTTGTTCTTAGAAAATTACTAGATTAGCTTCTCAGTTTAACTGCATTTTCATGTGAACTCAAAGCCCATCTCAGGTCAGGCTCTCCAGGAAAACTTTCTCATGGTTTCTGTAGCAGTTGATTCATTCTTTGCTGGCTTCATTTTGCAGCTTTAAGTGGCAGGTTCTCTGAAAAGCCATTTACTTCAAAGCTTTATAAACTAAGGCTTTGAATAAACGACTGAATTATGCTGGCTATGCCCAACTTTGTGCCTGGATGTGGGAATACTTAGCACTGGGTGTGGAATTCTAAGGAAAATTACCTCTTCCCTTTGCTTGAGACCCTGCTGGTTTGCAAAAACAAAGAGCAGCAGGGAGGAAAACTGTGGATGGGGAGGCATGGAAATCTCTGGTATCCCTTCTCCAGTGAGAACACATCCTGAACAACTATTGAATATTCATGCACAGTGTAACTAGGGTGATGTTGTATCAACGATGGGATTAACGTGGAGCTGAGCTTCACCAGACTACATGTCCCAGCAGGCCATGTAGGAGACACGAGCCCACGGCGCAGCATTGCATGCTGGAACTTGTAGTACCCTTCAAATGCCTCCCTGCGGTAGGCATGGCAGTGTTTTCCCCTCTTGTAGCCATGTGAGCCGTGTCATGATGCCTTGTGCTATGTGCCTGGTCTGTTACTGGAGGGCATGCATTAGTTTGGATTTTAAAATGTGCTTTTCAAGCTTTAGATAATGCTGACATGACACTTGAAAGTGACAAAATAGAATCCCACACTGGTTTGGGGTGAAGGGACCTTAAAGCTCCTCCAGCTCCAACCCCTGTGACAGGCAGGGACACCTTCCCCTAGAGCAGCTTGCTCCAAGCCCCTGTGTCCAACCTGGCCTTGAGCACTGCCAGGGATGGGGCAGCCACAGCTTCTCTGGGCACCCTGTGCCAGCGCCTCAGCACCCTCACAGGGAAGAGCTTCTGCCTAAGAGCTCAGCTCAGTCTCCCCTCGGGCAGGTTCAAGCCATTCCCCTTGGCCTGTCTCTACATCCCTTGTCCAAAACCGCTCTCCAGGTTTCTTGTAGCCCCTTTAGGCACTGGAGATGCTCTAAGGTCTCCCCTTCAGGAGCTCTTCTTCTCCAGGGTGATACAGCCCAGCTCTCTCAGCCTGGCTCCAGAGCAGAGCTGCTCCAGCCCTCGCAGCATCTCCTCTGGACTCTGTACTTAGAATACTTAAGCTTCTGCTGTACGTGTGTGTACAGAGCTGATCTGCCCACCATCACTGTTTGCTTTCTCCCGAATCTTTTGAAGTTTGTGTCTTCAAGCCAGTTCCTTATATTAAAAATAAATTCTTCCAAGCCACCAATAAAATGTCAAGCGTGATTAAAGCCTGACTCCTCATTTTAAGACTTGTCTCCTAAGCAGCATGAGGTCACTCTGAGTCAGCCTTTGAAAGGACCGTTATTCCTGAGAGCACGGGTAAGGCCCTAAGTTCAGAGGTGTGTGCTTAAACGGTTTCACAGTGTTTTGAATCACTTTTCTTTATGCTGAACGGAATGTTAACTGTGGGGCTGGCTTGGTAAGGATTGCAGACACCTCAAACCTTGGAAAAAACATCTCTATTGATGTAGAAGTTGGTATTTCTGGTAGGAAAGGTTTTACCTCCTGCGTATGAAAGAGGGTGGAATGGGGAGCTGTGCTTGAGGCACAGACTTTCAACTATGTTCTGGTGAAATGAAACTGGGAACTGTAAAATCTCTGGACAAGGACTGTCCTTTGTACAGAGCTGAGGCCTCATAGAGCTTTCTGCTCACAGGAGCTTTGTTTACTATATATTAATACATAAAATATATAGCAGGATGTTAAAGCATCCTCCTGAGATGTGAGGAAATACTATTTTTGTCTCTGCAGCCTTTTTTATTTTGTGCATATTAATTATGAACATCTTTAATTCCATGATCCCGTTTTGTCACTCATGCTTCCTGTTTGTTGTAGTGCATGCTCTGAGTATCTGCAGGTAATAAACCACACTGGAGTACTGAATAACTCGGAGCAGGACTCTGCCCCTGAATCCAGCCTGTGTCAATCCCTGGTCTCCCCATCCCTCTTGCTGCCCTTTTCCTACCCTCCTAACTCTTGCCCCAGTTGTCGCTGCCGTGTCCAAATCAAACCCCTTGCTGTCCATGGAGAATGCCTGTGTCTGCGAGGGAACGGGGAAAGGCAGGCGGAGGGGAAAGTCTTGCTGGCGAAGGAACATGCTCAGTGCAGAGGCAGGATTCGAGGTCACTTGGCTGCAGACCCCCCCTTACAAGACACGCTCCAGTGGGGATTGGCAGAGGTTTGCAGTGGTGAGAATCTGGGGCAAACTCTGACAAGCTCCAAGTTGTTTCCCCCTTCCCCTCCCCGGCTTTCCACCACCACCACTGGCGTTTTGTTAAGCATCATTCCTGATCTCTAGCGCTGTTCTCAGTAGCGAGCAATGGGCTGTGTGGAGTTGCCCGGCCCTCGCTAGAGCCGTGCTGGGCTCCATCCCGGCCGCTCTACGGGCGGAGCCCCGGAGCAGAGCGGGGACCCGGCGCGCTGCTGCTCCCGCGTTCTCCGTGACTGCGGCTTTACCGCGGTGCTCCCGGTGACCACCTCCTCTCCGGCGCAGCCCTGCGGACGCGGCTGCACTAACCCGGCCTGCTGCAGCCCCTGCTCGGCATCACCCGCTCCTTTACGGGCTCTGCTGCACCCCGAGCCGCCCTCTCCCGCGGGGGGCGAGGCTGCGGAGCCAGGCTGTGCGTGCACCGCCCCGGTTCCGCGGGGGAGCCGCTCGCCAGGCTCCGAGGCCTGACTCAGCGGGGAAGGCAGCGGAAGGTGCCTGTGCTACGGCGCGGCCGTGCTTGCACGGGGCAGAGGGGTGAAGCGCACCCGGCCCTTGGCCTCACCTGGGCAGGGGTTGGCCGGCGGGGCTGTGCCGCGGTGGCCGGGCCGGCTCCCATATCCTCTCCCCGCCTTGCCTTTCCTTTCCTCTCCTCTCCGGCGGCCGGGCCGGGGTGGGGCGGGGCGAGGGGCGGGCGCGGCGGCGCGGCTCGCTGATTGCAGGGCGGGCGCTGCCAGTCCGCCGCGTCCCAGCGCCGGAGCCGCACGGCCCAGCAGCGAGCGCCCAGCCCGGCCTGGCCCGGCCCCGCCAGCCGCCCCCCATGGAGGAGCAGCCCCACCACCATCATCACCACCATTACTACTACTGCGGCCACCACCACCACCACCCGCAGAGCGCCTACCTGCCGCCGCCCGACGGCCGAGCCCAGCCCAAACCGCCGCTCCGACACGAGCACAAGCACGGCGGCCCGCAGCACCAAGAGGCGGCCAAGCGGAGAACAGGTCCGGGGCAGGGCGGCGGGACGGGGCCTGTGACCTTCGTGGGGCGGCGGTGGTGGGGCCTTCCTCCTCCTCCTCCTCCGCCGCCTCCTCCCCCGGCCCGGCTGGAAGCTTCTCCGCCGCGCTGGGGCAGCTTCCTGTCCGCCATGTTGGGGCCGGCGCGGCTGCGGGAGCCGCGGGGCCCGCCGGGCACGTGGGGCCGGGCCGCGCCGCACCGGGAGCGCTGCCCATGGCCGGGCCGGGCCGGGGGGCGGCGGGGGGCGAGGAGGCCCCGGGGAGAACCGATCACAGTGACTCGGGGGAGGCGGAGGGGCCTGCACCGGGGGGGTCTCTGGGCCGCTTCCTCCGCGGGGTTCGGGCCGAGCCGGGAGAGAGGCTGCGCGGAGGCAGGGAATGGCACCGCGGAGCTGGGGAGAGGGGGGAAGCTGCTCCCGAGCCCCCTCCTCACCCTGGGGCGCTGCCCGGCTGCGGCGTCCTGAGAAATAATCCCATTTAGAGGGGCCGGGGGGGGGGGGGGTTCAGAGCAAGTGTGTGACTGCGGCAGCACCTAAAATGCCGTACAAATACCTGAATTCTGTGGTGTTCCGTGAGGTTTCCATTTACATAACGAGGGAAGGGCCCTGGCCGGCATCGGGAGCCACGCACGCAGCCTCGGGAGCGGGGGTAGGGAGGGACCGGCCCCGGCCAGCGCTAAAATAAGTTGCCGAGCAAAAATAAGTTGAGGAGTCATTTCGCTGTTTGCAGTGTGCCCGGGGTGCTCTCCCAGCCCTCCCTTTCCAGCTATGAAACCAGCCGTGGGGCTCCCAGATCCTCCTCTTGCTCCTCTGTGCCTAGGCCAGAGCCAGCTCTGGCAATCGTTGGTTGGGAGAAAACTCAGGCAGCTGAGTTGTGAATACTTGAGGATTGGAACTCGAAACTGCTGACACACTGACTTACTGAGATGGATTTTGTTCTTCATTTCATTCTTTCGCTCCTCGTCTGCAGGGGTCTTATGACCATTCTTATTGTTTTGTTGCATTAGCAAGTGGTGTCAGAAGTCTTGAGTCATGCAAGGTCAGCTGTAACACGTTGCTCTTGAGAAAGGCTTCCTCTCAAATACTTGATTTTTTTTAGTCCTTGACTTAATCCCATCCCATCAGCGCTCTCCAGGATGAAGTATTCATGGTTAATGTTCTTAACAGCCCATTGGAAAGTTAGGGTGGAAGTTGTGGTGGTTGCAGATACTTGCGTGTAGTAAAATCCTTTTTGATCCCTCTCAGCAAACTCAATTCTGTGAAGATTCCTACAAGGATTCTTCTGTTCCCGACTTACCCAGCACTTGAGCAGTTACATCTGCCAGACATCTGAGGCTCCAGGATGTGAGGATAACAATGATTTCTGGTATAGCAGTTAATTTCAGCAACATTGGCAACAACAAAAACATTCTTTTTCAAGCTGGAATTCTGCCTGCTCTCATTCTTGGGGGACTGACTTGGTGCCACCGTGGCTGCAGATGAAGCCTTAGGTGGGTCAGTTGTTGCAGATGTCAGGCTTTCCACCCTCGGGAAGGAGGATGGATGAGTCAGAGGAGGAGCAAGGATATCGCTCTTCCTGGAGGAGCGGGTCCCTCTGCTCCATGCGCAGCTGGAGTGTGTTTGTTGAGCTGGGTACAGAGTCCTCTTCCCATCTCTTGGTGGGGTTTCAAGGCTTCTCTTGGGCCAGTGCAGCCAAAGTCTGTGAAAGTGAAAGGTCGCTGGCCAGAGGTTTGGCAAAGAAAACGAAACAAGGAGGAAGTTGAGGTGGTTCTGGGCTGTTCTGAGCTTCCAGCTCCTTGAATTGCACACTCCAGATTCACTGCAGAACCATAAGGCCTAGAAATGAACTGCGGAAGGAGGGAGGAAAGCTGAGTGTACAGCATCATCTCATGGTTTGTTGAGTTGGATCCCTCAGTAAGTGCTTTATTCCTTGGCTCTCAAGCTAGGAGCAGGTCTCCCAAGGACAAGTTTCTTGGTGGGCAGGAGACCAATTGCTGGTAGTGATGAAGGCTGATTGTAGGGATGTGGTTCTTCCTGCTTTTATCACCTTCTCGATGTTAAAGAGCACATGTAGGGAGGTGTTGGTTGCTGTCTTGAAGTGAGGGGATGCTGGCACCCTTTCTTCCCTCCTCCTTCCAACTGGACTTGCACATGTCCTCTTGGAAAGCTGCTTTTTTAGGTTTTCTTAGGGATTCTTTTCCCCCTTTACTGGGAGAGGAGGGTGGGAAGGAGGGCTGCTGGTGTTGCAGGCCTGGGAGCTGACGGAGATGATAGGAGTTGGCTCTAGTTCACTGTATGGATTCTGCACCTTAACAAATCCCATAGCAAAGGCAGCAGATCCTTCTGTCTTGGAGCATCCTGGGAATTACTTTTTTTCCTCTGCATGACCTGGAAACAGTCAGTAGCTGATGAAATAGCTCTCTAGCTTGCCAGTGGCCTTCAGTCCGTTTTCCTTATCTAGTACCTGAATATTCCTTTGCTGTATTTTGTCATCTATAGGTCACCCTGTTGTATGTGTGAGTCAGTGGCTGCTGATACTTACTGCTTAACCCTTTGTGCTGTGGTTTCCAGCAAATAAGCGTTTGCTTTTGTACATGGGAGGCTTTTCCTATTTTAAAATGTCTGCTTGAGGCAACTGGATATGTTTGGGGCTGATTACAGCTTTCTGCCATCAGAAGTTTAACGTTTCACATTCTAATTCTTGCCTTTTGTTGTTTTTGGCTTCCTTCTAGGCTATGGAGAGCTAAATGGTAATGCAGGAGAAAGAGAAGTGTCATTAAAGGGCCTGTGCTCTGATGAAACCACCACCCCAGGATCCAGGGTACCCAATGGCAGCCAGCAGCTCGTAGACACTAACGTGCCCCCAAAGCAGACTGTGAAGGCCAGTGCTTTGGGGAAAGCTGGAATCAAACCCAAAAACTTCATTCAGAAAAATAGCATGGACAAAAAGAATGAGAAGTCCTACGAGAACAAACTTAGAGAAAGCCAATCCTCAGACAAGCCAGAGGGAATGTCTGTTCCAAACGGTGTGGTCACCAATAACTCCAGCTATATCACCAATGGCTACATAGGGAAAGGGGCCGATAACGATGGAAGTGGCTCCGAGAGTGGATATACTACGCCTAAGAAGCGGAAAGGCAGGCGCAACAGTGCCAAGGGTTGTGAGAACCTGAATCTAGTTCAGGACAAAATAATGCAACAGGAGGTCAGTGCACCAACCTTAAAACAGGAACTTGAGAGTTTCAAGCCTGATTATAGTGAACAAAAGGGGAACCGAATTGAAAATACTAAGCCAGTCTGGAAATATGAGGCTGGAGCTGGTGGAGCAGGACGGGGAAAGCCTGGGCTTGGGGATGTACAGCGAAAAAACTCGGATGCCAAACCTGGGATTAGCAGCAAGAAGTTTGATGACCGGCCCAAAGGGAAGCACGCGTCATCAGCTACGTCTAAAGAGGACTCATGGACCTTATTTAAACCACCCCCAGTTTTTCCAGTGGACAATAGCAGTGCTAAAATCGTACCCAAAATAAGTTATGCAAGTAAAGTTAAAGAGAACCTCAACAAAGCAGCTCAAACCCCATCCCCGTCATCTTCGTCATCTTCATCATCTGCCGGGGAAACTCAGGCCCAAACATCAAGTCGACTGTCCCAAGTCCCCATGTCTGCTATGAAATCTGTTACTTCTGCTAGTTTCTCCAATGGGCCCATCCTGGCAGGGACAGATGGAAGTGTGTATTCCCCAGGGACCCAGCCACTGCTCTCATCTGCTGCTAGTACTGTACCATCCACCTCCTCCGAGTCAGGACCCCAGGACATGAGTACACCTTCAGCAGCTCTCGAACAAAAGAAATCTAGCCTTTTTATCTACCCTTCAAATATGCAAACTGTGCTTCTGGGTACAACCCAAGTCAGTTTCCCATCGCAGACCAATCAGCAGAACCTGGGAGATATCTTCCAGAATCAGTGGGGTTTGTCTTTCATCAACGAGCCCAGCGCTGGACCCGAAACTGGTGTGGGGAAATCTGCGGATAATCAGTTAATGGAAGTGACATTTCAAGGGGAATATCCTGCCACTTTGGTTTCACAGTGTGCTGAAATCATTCCCTCAGGAACTGAACAACCTGTGTTTCCTAAGGCTTATGAGCTGGATAAACGGACTAGCCCTCAAATTCTTAGTGCTATTCTTAAGCCTGGGACTGCTGTTGAGGGTGGTGTCTTAGCTTTGGAGTCGCATCACACAGGTGACCTACAAAAGGCAGACACCGGTAGCCAAGGTGCTTTAGTGTTTCTTTCAAAAGACTATGAAGTAGAGAATCCTCTGGCCTCTCCCACGAACAATTTGCTAGCCTCCGCCAAAGAACAGAGGTACCAGAGAGGCCTAGAAAGGAAAGATAGCTGGGGTTCTTTTGACCTGAGGGCTGCTATTATGTATCACACTAAAGGTAATGGCTTCACTTGCTGCCTAAGGGCATTTTCTCTCCTTTTTTTTATGTTACTATTTTAAATGCAATATTCTAACGTGATCTATCCTTTACAGCAGTTGATTGCTTTAAAAATGAGCTTTTTGCTTGCGCATCTCTAACAGCAGTAGTGGCTTGGGCAAGTTATTCAAACAGTTGTTTAGTTAACGTTCAGAGGTACTTGTCTCCCTGTTCTGTGGACAAGGGTAAGTCGTGATACAGCAAGTGTGGTTTATGTTTGAATTCCCATGGAAGAAGCAGGTTCTCCTCGAGCTTCCAGCATTGGAAGGAGTTAAATGTGTAGGTTTGCCAGTTCTGTCCCAGCTTTACCAGGTGATTTTCTGTCACTGGAAAGGCTTCATAGTCTGTACTCACACCTCTACCACCAAAGTGTTGCAGCTTCTCCCCTGGGCAGATCAGGCCATGAAATCACAGCTTTGAAGGAAGACAGATTATTGCTACAGCTTTTCGTGGTGTGATTTGATTTAATTTCCTGAGCAAACCCCTCCCCATCCCTCTTTTCTCCTGCCCTTCTGATTGGAGCAACAGCAAGACAAATCTTTGCTTATCAGCTCTTCTGGAAGGTGCAGATTGAATTCTCTCATTGTCTTTGTAAGCCAAATCTTGCCGATGATTTTATTGCTTTCATGAAGTCCTTTGTAGTCCAGCTCTTTCTTTTTTTAATTTCCCTGGGTTTTTTTGGTTTTTGGTTGGTTTTGGTTTTTTTTTGGAGCCTGAAATGACTCAAACATGATAGAGATGCCTTAAACTGGGAATGAAGAGAAGGATGCCTGGGGCTGCCTTGCGTTCGGTTTCAGCCTCAGCCCCAGCAGCAGTGAGGTCTTGTGGCAGTTCTTGGCTTTTGGTTTTGGCTCCGTGTTAACAGGAGCCTGGTTGTGAGTTCCCTTTGGCACAGTCTTGACAACACAGGGGCAGTTCCTACTTCCCGCTCCCTGCATCCATCCCCTTATCCTGAAGGGAACAAGGTGATCACCCATTTCTTGTTCACTGTTCCATATAGTATGTGGGTAACGTCTTGCTTCTCTCTGCAGAGGGGTTCCTATTTGCTTGGCATTGGCAGATTTGCTGTGTTTTGACCTACTGCTAAGTTCTTAAATTACCTGTTTGCAAACCCTTTGTGTAGCAGACGGACACTCAGATGCCTTCCTTTAGTAACAGCAGGCCCAGTCACTTAAAAATAATAACTCCAAATGTGTTTTTTCCGGGTCGTTTCACTCACGGTGTTAACGTTTTAAGCTCTAGCGTTCTTGAGAGCAGCATTCATCAATCGATTTTTATCTGGGTCCTCTACCCTGTGCTCAGTCTGTTCCAGTATTAAAGCAAGCTTTCTGTTCTCATTTCTTGTGAGTGCCTGCAGCCTAAATCCCAGTTTGCCATCAGAAAACAGGGGTACTGGGAAGCACAGCATAGTCCTAAGCAAGCCTTTTCTTGAGTTTGCAGATTTTCCCAACGTTTAAGTTCGTTTCTCTTGGGTTTTGTCAGCCTTTTGTTAGGTTTCTTGTAGGAAAGCCACTCTGTCCAGCTGCAGAGGCTCATCAGCTCTCCCTTTCTCACTAGCAGTGTGAAAGACAGACCCCAGTAAAACAATGGTAACAACAGGAAAATAAAGAACACTCCCTTCCCATGTCCTCTCTTAAGGAGGTGTTAACTTCAAAGTCTGACTGTGTTTAGTTCTTGTAAACGCTGGTGTTAATTACATTCAGTGGCAAGAATGGACACCTAAAGCACTCTTTAAAATACTCTCTTTCTTCTCTTTCCATCCTTGTGCATGTGAATGCTCTTGCTCTGTGCATCCGGAGCGATGCCCTGGGGGAACAACCCCACCCCTCTTCTGCCCATTCATTGCTGTGCAGGTGCCAGCTTCAAGGTGTTACCTATGGGTAAAAGATGATGAATGTTTCTAATCAATGCTGTCATTAACACACTGATAGGGGTGCTCCAGACAGTTTAGGCTTGTCTTTCTTCTACTTAATCTTCAGATACTGGTTTACAAAGCAGGAGATAGTAGTCCACGTGTAGGTCTTAGTATCTCTTCTGTGGTGATGTGGGGGTGTTTCCTGGTGTGTTCAGGTCTGTTGGGGTGAGTTGGATTAAGGGGTAGGGGGAGGAATAGTGCTGCCTTCTGCCCCATGCAGATGGAGGTAGCTGTCCCCTCTTCATCGTGGTGACCCTGCAGCCAGAGTCCTGCAAAGCATCCAGAGAACGCTGCTGGTGGTGTGTTCACAGGGTAGCAGTGCAATGGTTAATTCCCACACCATTCCCCCCGTTTATCTTGGGCTGTTTTCCTGAGGTCCTGCTCCTGGCCAGCCAGTTCCTCTGCAATAGGAAAGGAACGATTTCACTTGTTCATTTTTCACAAGCTGCCTTCTCCTCCCTGTGGCTTTGCCCGGGCCAGTGTTGGAGTGTCCCGGGCAGTTGGATCCTCAGATTGTTTGGTTTTCATTTCGAGAGGAGGGTGAACTTCTCCCTCTTCAGATCGATCTGTTTGCTTTTGAGCAAAGTCTCCATAGTTTGATCTTCAGACCTGCCCTGCCTCCGGGGTTATGGACACAAAGAGAAACGATTGCAGGGCAAGGATGGGGTGAGCATGGAGCACTGGTGGGGTCCTTGTGTGCAGTAGTTCAATGGCAAGGATGAAGCTCTGCGTGTTGCAGTGAGGAATGGGCTCTAGTGTGTGTGGTTGCAGTGTCTCAGCTTGTATGTCACAAGCTTGCCCACCCTTCTGTGCTGTTTGTGTCTGTAGCTGTCATCAGGTTGTGTGGATCTTCACCTTGGGCTGCACATAAGGCATGGGAAAGCCTCTCACTTACGTGGTAGCTTTGTTCCAGCAAAGCAGGTTTTCCTGTGTGTGGTTGCCCAGTGATTGCAAGGGGCATGATAGATCGTAATTGCTTCACAGCTTCCTTCCAATACCTAAAGGAGCCCAACAAGGAATCTGGAGAGGCGCTTTTTACAAGGGCATGTAGGGATAGGACAAGGGGGAATAGATTCAAACTGACAGAGGGGAGATCCAGGTGGAGATTCACCCTCCTGTTCTTCTCTTGGGTGCTTTTCATGCTTTCTTCTGTGGCCCTGCTTCGTGCCTTGGTTTTCTTCCTTTTTAAAGGGCAGGACTACCCTCCTCATTGGATCTGCTTGACTGTAAAACACGATCCTTCAGTGTGGCTGCCTTCACTGACAGCACGTGCCACTCAGTGTTTGTGCTGGTGCCTTGAAGCACTCGGGTGACATACCTGATTAGCAAGGTAGATCTGATCTAGTTGAGCATTGGTGGGCCTACTGGTTGTGTCTCGGCAGCTTTACTTCTATTGAAATCAGTATCTTACTGCTTTAGTCCTCTTACAGACAGCTGGATGAACCACTTCATATCAGAGTAATTACCAACACTTTGCAGGATTTCATCATATTTGGGCATTTGCAGTCTTCCAGGCCACGCTGTCGCTAACACCAAGCTCTATGTGGCACACTGTGTAAATGTAAGCTCAGTAGTTTGCTTTTCCTTACCTAAAAAGCAGTTAAGATCTGCAGTTCAGCTGCACAGTAGCAAAGACCACATAGAGGGAGGAGAGGAAACTGCAGCGTGTTCCTCTTCTGTCTTGCCCCCATGTTTCTGCCTATGCTGCTGCTTTGTTCCATCTCTGCTCGCGTGAAGGAGCAGAAGAGCAGCATGGAAAATGGAGCAAGGCAGCGTGGGCCAGCCAGGAGTGGCGTGCACTGCAATGGTGAACTGGGTCAGAAGAAATAGCAGAGCTGTGAGTTCAGCAATTCCCATCCTTTACATCAGGGGAGGAGGGGAAGAAAGTGCCTTGGCTTCCCATCCCCCTTGATGGGAAGGGGTTAGAGCTCAGTCTATTGCTTGTTAGGCCTGAGCTGTGAGGCAAAGACTGATTCAGTTCTCCTTCAAGTTTCTGCTGTTTCCAGTTGTCAGGGTGAGTTGCAGTGTATTCAGTACAGCAATGAGTCTCCACAACATTGAACTTTCAGTCTTTGCTTTGTTTCAGGGGCAATCTCATAACTTACTGATTGTGTCACCTAGATAGAAAAACGTGATGAGGATGATCTCTCTTTATTACTAGTTTTCTAGCACTTCAGTTTAGAGACTACTGTCAGTTTATATGTTAGATTTATAAGAACAAAGAACATGGTACTGTGCAGACACTTGTGTTTGCAAGGGCAGCCTCTCTAGCAAGGTAAATGTGTGTAAAAGTGCCTGTCTTAACAAGTTATTGTAGAGAGACTTCTTTCTTTCCTCTCCAAGGTTATGTACCAGTCCAGCTGTAAAGTTTATTGACCTATGAGGCATCTCAACACAATGCACCTTTAGTTTGTTCCTCACATCAAAGCCTTTCTCCACCAGCCCTTTGTTCCCAGAAAAAGTGGTTCCTCTCCTTGGAGCTCCTTAGGTGGATATGGCTGGGGCTGTCTGCTGCAGGCAGCTCCTGCAAGCCATGATCCCAGAGGGCTGTGGGGAGGTTGGCCAGCAGTTAAACCATCCTGGAAAACATGAGGTTGGAAGGGGCACAGGAGGTAACCTGGTTCTGCCCCTGGTTGGAGCAGGGCTGGCTTTGATGCTAGGTTGTGCAAGGCCTTGTTGATGGCATTTTCTCCAGCTGGGTTGGAGCCTGCTGGGAAGGAAGCATGCAATTTCCCTGGCCACGTGTCCTGCTTTGGGAATGATGGCCTCTGTTGGCCAGGTCTTGACCAAGTTGTGCTTTGGAAAGCAGCAGTTGTAGTAACTGAGGTCTGTCCAGCCACTGCTGTAGTGGTGCTGGCACTTGTGACAGCACCATGCGACAGTCACAGGTGACACAGCCTGTGATCAGTCCACAACCAGGAAGAAAACCCACTCGAATGTATTGCCAAGTAAAACACTCAGAATCACAAAATTTCATCTTAAGCTTGAAGGAGAGTCTTTTTCTCCTGGTTCTGTGTTGCAGTTTGCCAAAAACTTGATGGTTTTATCCTCTGTGAAGGTGTTTCAGCTGGTGAATGTGCTGAACCTGTGCTGCTCTCCTGTATCCATGTGCTTCTGGCCAGGTAGAGAGGAGGACCTTGCTCTTGCACTTGACAATACTCAGTAGTAGTCAATATCACACCCAGTTTTCTGATGGGCTTTGGGTTTGTAGCTTTGTCAGGGTGAGTACCTGCCAGACAATGTGTGTGTGTGTGTGCTTTACAGGACAGTTCACAAAACCTTCTCTCCTACCTCTCTTTCTGAAGAAGGAAGATTGAAGCCTGAAAGGGTTGTGGAGTTTGGGTGTTGATTTGTTAGGGTTTTCTTTAAAACAGAATTTTGACAACTGAAGGGGTTTTTTTGTGTGTTGCTGATAGTACCTCACTGTCTGATTGTCAGGCACATCTTAATACAAGCAGTTCACATTCTTCTGGTGTCCCATGAAGTTAAGGCCAAAGAGAAGTGCAAAAGAAAGCATGGTCTTTTGCCTGGAGGTACAGCAAGGAGCTGTGCTTCAGCCTCTGCCTTGTATTTGATGCTCAAACATTGCTCTAATGCGGAGGAGCCAACAACTTGAGAGTGGTTTTCTGAGCCCTGCCTTTGGGGAAAGCTCTTAAAATAGGTGATGTCCTTTAGTTGTTAGGAAATGATGCATCTAACATCCCTGCATGGAAAACGAGCTCTGCTGGAGGTAATTTTAGTAGCTGGTTCATTTTACTTCTGGGGAATCTGCATCTGGTGAATGAGGGAGTCCCTTGCTAGGTTGCTTACATCCGTCCCTGGGGGTGGTAGAGGCTTGTTGCTACTCCCAGAACACTTGGGGTTCCCCTGATGGGAGCGCAGTCTGGCTGCTGTTACCCTGACACATAAAAAACAGACCTTGGAAAATTTTGTCAGGGGCTTCCTTACAAAAGGCTTAATTGTGCAGAGGGGGCTGGCAGTATTCATTTGCATGCAATTTCCTGCCCCAGGGAGCTTGAGATAGCAGGGGACAAAGAACAGATGAAGCCTTGGAGAAGAGATTCAAACATGGAAGTGATTGATGGAGGTGGCACTCGGTGCACATCGTGCTGAGGCTGTGACTTCTACAGGGTTTTTCTTCTTCCTTTCCATTGCTGGTTAGTTTACTTACTGCCTTGGGTTGTGTTTCACTGCACATACCATGTAGCTCAATAATCCATTGCTGTTCCCTGTTCCCACCCCTGCCAAGGTCCTGTCATCCTCCTTTGTGGCAAAAGGGAGAGCTTGAAAGATTGTTTTTGCAGGTTGTGTTCCTACTAAATGCTCCTTTTCTATAATAATGTCTCTTAAACTTGGGTGCAGGGTCCTGTTAGTATCTTCATAAGTATTCCAGCTCCCAACATTCCAACTTGAGAGTGTCTAAATGTAATTATTTTGAATGGGTCTGTAAAGATGTGACTTCATTTGGCATATTTTCATAGAGTGAATCATAGAATCACAGGATGGTTTGTGTTGGAAGAGACCTTAAAGCTCATAGAGTTCCAGCCCCCTGCTATGGGCAGGGACACCTTCCACTAGAGCAGGTTGCTCTATGGCCCATGCAACTTGTCATGGGACTGCAAGGGGTGGGGGGAAGAACCTTCTGATTCTTAAAGTGAATGAAAAGGACATTTAACTTTGCTGTTACTTCCTAGCTAAACAAGAACACGTGCTCTCAGCAAGAACTGGGGAGGGTTGATTTGTCTTTAGCCCACAGGTGTGTATAGAGGTAAATTAGGGAAAGAACTGCCAGCCAGGCAGGGAGCTGGGTGTCCTGAGCGTTGCACCTTGTTCTCAGGTGATGTGTTGGCAGCAGTGTCTTTGCATGGTGTGCTTTGGCAGGCGCACACTGTGCACCATGAGAAACCTGCTTTGTTCATGAGTTCTGACCTCACAGAAATCATCTCTCCAGGCTACTTGTTGAGGCTGCAAGTTGGAGTCAGAGTAGTAAAGCCCAGAGTTTGTGATGTGTAGGAGCGGAGATTGGAGATGACATTCCTGATGCTCAGTATGGCCATCTGACCCTGAAGACCAGGTTATAGCCTTTTATTCCCGGATCATTCACATCAAATTCATGCAGACCTGTGGGCTGAGTTGGGGCTGGGCTGGATGGGATTGGCTTTGTCTGAAAGCCTCAGTGTTGTGCTATGCTCAGAAAAATTGAAGTATATTTGGAGTTGTCTCCAATGGCAGCATCAACTTGCATAATAACAATGGTCTTCTCATTTTGCCTCCACAGAAATGGAATTGGTTTGGAATTTGCAGAAGCAAGGTAAGGATTACTGGAAAGAATAAATAAGCTAAATTGCTCTGTTCTCCTCTGTCTCTTGGGATGGGTGATGAGAGTGGATGGTCTTGGTGTCTGGAGATGCCTGAGTTTAGTTCTTCAGTGCCTGCTGTTTGTAGTGTGGGTTTACCTTTACCTGTGTTTTGGATTGCTACAAGTCAGAACAATAAGGTTTACCATAATTTTGGGGTGTCCAGAGAGAAGCAGAGTCCCTCAAAGAGCAGTAAAACCAGTGTCAAATCAAAGATTTAACGAGTCTTCCCTATGTGTCTGTGCAACAGCTTTCTACTTCTGGTGTTGGCTGTCAGACCCAAGAATAAGTTTTAGAACATCTTCAGCCATAGGTCCTGAAAGTAGCTTATGGGAAACTTAGGATTGTGCTCTCTTTCCAGATCCCAAAAGGATAATCACTTATGATGAAGCCATGGATCGCCCGGATCAATGAAGGTAGCAAGACGAGACTGCCTGTTCTAACCTTTCTGCAGCATTTGTGCTGTTCGTGGGGGACAAAAGGCTTTTATGCTCCTTCTAAATCTTCAGTGCAGCAGAGGAACCGTAACTAGAATCACAGGATAATATATACAAATATATATATAGTTATTTAAAAATGGCAACTGAAAGTAATTAGACTTCTTAAGGAATCTGAAAATCTATTTCAACGAGACTACACACGTGATTATTTAATCTCCGGTACTGAATAGATTCTTTTTTTTTTTTTTTTCCCCTTTTCTTTTTTTTTCCTTTTTTTTGTTTTGTTTTTTTGGTTAAAGAGTGAATGCAAGTGATTTAACAAACACAGACTCGATTTACAAGCCCGGTTCTAAAGTTCCTGCTGTTGTCTGCAATGGGCCGCAGCAACCCACTGGAGAGGCATTTCCACTTGACAAGGTTTCTGTTTCTCGTTCTGTGACTGTAGTGACACACTAATCACAGGGAAATCAGGATGATTCACCATACTTCATCTCCCCTTTCCCTTCCACCTCCCCTAGTTGGTTGTGTTTTTTTCTGTTTTGTTTCCCATTGAATGCTGGAGAAACACCTTGAAGTTTGCAGTTTTTTTTAATCCAGAGAATTATAATCCGCATGTTTTGCCAGGAGTAAAGCAGCAATCCGATGCTGGGAATATTGTCTTAAAGCATCATTCTTCTGGGGGTAATACTGCAGTTCTAGGATGCATGGTGAAGTCACACAGTTGACCTGGCTCCGGTTACACGGTGGACTATTGCAACTGAGGAGTTCTTTTCATTTTAAAAGACAACGTGCAAAAATAAGCAATCTGTTTAGGCATTTAATACAGAGAAAAACAAAAAACCCACTGTTCCCACAGGTTAATGCCATTGTATTGCTGGGAGCAAAAAAAAAACAACAAAAACCTTCTGCTTTCAACTGTAGGTGCTTCATATTTGCTCTGTCTGTCTCCTAACACTAAATGTGCTGGATTTCTTTCCCATTTTCATTGGAAAACTGAAGAGGAATTGAGTTCTGCTAACTTCCACCTTTCTTGAATTATTTCTTTTCTCTTAAAAAAAAAAAAGAAAATAAAAAAAAAAAGAAAAAAAGGAAAAAGAAAAAAAAAAAAGAATTTGAATCCTTTTCAATTTGTCCATGGGACTCCAATGGCCACACCTGCCCGTTGGAAAAGCTCTTTTATATTTTAATGCAGTCTGTGTATTTCCGAGCTCTGCTCATGATGATCTCTTAATAAAAATCTATTTTATTACAAAAAATGGAGGACTTAGGAATGAAAATAATAATTAAAATTTAAAAATAAAGAGTAAATCAATAAATCCCAAGGGAAGGAAAGCTTCCTATAGCAGTGGTAGAGAAAGCAGACTGCAGCTCCAGCTGTGTAACCCGCTCTGTCCCATTGCAGCTTGTGTAGCGCATCCAAATCAGCTTGGGGTTGGGCAGTTTCTCTGGGTTTTTGGTTCTTAAAGGTGGAAAGTTCACAGGGTCCAGTGCAAGAAAGAGCTATAAATAAAGCCAACCTGGGGCTTTTGACCTAGCCAAGCTCCACATGTACCCAGTGTGGAGTGTTTGTGGACAAATAGTGGCTCACATACATCTGGGTACCAAGGTCAGCAGTACATCAGTCTGGACCCTATGGGGCATTAAGGAAGCAGATAAGCCCAAAACTTGTGCCCACCCCTTGTGCTTAGATATATCCACTTGTTTTTCTGTTCACTAGGAATGTGTATCATGGTTTTTAATTGTTTCTTGTTTTAATAAGATTGTTTCTGAACGAGACTCTTAGGTTCACAGTGGGACAATGGAACTTCTTTCTGTAAGATCGCTAGCTGTCTGCCACGCTTCATTTTACAAGTTTGATTATGAATTGCCTACTCCATTTTAATGTATAAACTACTATATAGTATAATACTGTAGTGTAATACTATATAGTGATCATGTATTGTACCAGTCCATGTATGGTTGGCCAGTCGCAAATACTTCTATTTCACCTACAACCTGTACCACCTCTGCAGGTGTGTGTCACTTTCAGATGTATAACATGTTTACAGATGTGCCCCACATCTAGTCCTCAACGTTCCTATCTCTGATTCTGTTGAGTCTCCCAACTGCTTGCCAAAAGTTGGAATCGCCTTTGGCTTCACTGTGGAAGAGCTGGGGCGTTCCTGAGCTTTAAAGTGTTGAACAAACTGGTGGGATTGGGAAAATTAAGGTGGAAGAAACGTTTTGGGATGGTTTTTTGTTTTATTTTCAACAAGGTGAAGGCTAATAGCAAAGTTCCCAGTTTGTTTTACTGGCTTTAAGGCTCTGCTGTGTATTTATTTGCCTTGTGTAGTCACTTGTCGCCTTAAGGGCTGGGTTCCATTAAAAACAAAAAGACAAAAAAGATAAATCCAAACCCTTCTTTGCTTCCCTGGGCTCTGCGCTGTCCTGGTCCCCCCCTGCCCCAGATCTGCTCTCTTGGCTGTTGTGATGCAGAAGCTGAGCAGCAATAACCCATTGCTGAATCTGACCCCTGCGCCTTTAGGAGGATCCCAGTCTTGCTGAGTATTTGAGGATGCTCATGTTGGCCTAGTCCAGTTGGTGTTCTAAACAAGCGTTGAGCACAGTTCAAGCCATGGGTTGGGTTGACTTCTCCCCTGATGCTCATCCCTGCTGCTTTGCGCCGCTGCCCGTGGCTCCATGCCACCGGGACCCATCCAGAAACACTCTCAGCAGCTTCTCTGCTGTACTTCTGACCATTCTCTCTTCAAATGTCAGTTTTCATGAGCTCCATGGTGTGTGCTCAGTGCTAAGCGGTTAGGAATTCCTCTCTCTGAGCTCCTGTAACTCTGTCTCACTGGCAAAGGTGGTATTTTGGGGATGGAGTATTGCCTAGAGCCAGGCAGGGCTCTGAAGAAACTTCCTTGTGCTTTGGTGTAACTTGCCCTGTCGCTGTCTGCAGTCCTCCTGAAGTCCTCACACAATTCTTTACTGAGCACTTATTAAAAATCTCTTCAGATTTAATCTGTTTTCTGATTATTTTTATGTAAGCTTATAAAAAAAAAAGAAAAAAAACCCAAGAAATGGAGCTGTGACTAATTTAGCACATTGAAATAATGCTAAGGTGTTACTGATAAGTCTCATGTTTCGTTTTTTTGTTTGACTCAGAGTATTAGTACTGTAGCATAAACCAAATACAGCCCGGGAAGGGGTGCTCAGCCTCTGCCAGGGCTGCACCCAAGGGTGTCAGTGGGCAAGGAGCTGGCCTGCGTGTGCAAGCATCTTACTTGTGTAGGAGAGCGAGCGTGTATTTATTTGTGCCATTGTTTTCATTACACTGAGTAAAGTTTTAAAACAAAAACCCTTAAATATGTGTGGTATCGGAAAGTGGCACTAAGGGTGAGATCATGACCTATATTTTTATTAGGTATGAAGACAGCAATTCAGGTTAAGGCTTCTCTCCCATTTCTGTTCCTGTTGTTGATCCGATGAGTCTCTTTCCTCTGGTTCCCTGGCCAGGCTGTCTGTTGGGGTAAGGCGTCCTTCATGGGCAGGGCTGCCTTCTTTCTCCCTCTGGTCTTTCCCCACTGTTCCTCTGCAACAGCTCCTGTTGGCTCTCTTGTACAGGGTTTTGTGCAGTATGTACCAGATCCAGCATGGGATCTGCTCTCTCTGGTCTATCACAGAGTGTTTGGTCCACTCAGTGATGGGTTAGAAGCTGCTCCATGCTCCCGTCTCTGGTGACGGTGGTATGGGGACCTTCAGCATCACTGCTCCCTCCTACTCCACCTGTCTGGTGGATTGGCAATGCAATGACTTTCAAGGCTTGGGTGGTGTTTGGTTTTGGTTTCTCCTTGGTTGCCCCCGACACCTGGTTTTGTTGGAAATCTTGGCAATGTGGATAGCTCCAGGGCATGGATTCTGTCCCTAACCTGCTTCAAACCATCACCCTCTCTCAGCCCTAAATCATAGAGCAGTTTGGGTTGGAAGAGACCTTCGAAGGTCATTTTGTCCAGCCCTGCTGCAATGAGCAGGGACAAATCCCCTTGTTTGCCGTTTGTAGCTGCTGTGAACTTGTTTGAAACGTTGAAGAGAACCCCACTTCTCCTTAGGTTGTGAGTGCACCGTGGGAGTGGGTGATGGGGTGAACCAGCTTAGCTAAATCCACAGGAGAAAGGAGAGATGGAAGTTTTCCTCTCAGTTCTGTGTAACTGATGCTGTTCACCTTCAAGAGAGGGCTGCTGTAGCACAGTTGCATCCTTTCCAGGCAATGGGTGACCTCGGGGACATCCGGGAGCTATGGCATTCACAGGTGTGTTTCACAGGTGGCTCTCCTGCGTGTTCAGTTTTGATCCAGCATCTTCAATAAGTTGCTGTGGTGTCCAAAGCTTTCAGGAGTCTCATCCCTTCTGTATGTACGTCCTTAGTGATTTCTGTTCTTACAGAGACTGTTTACAAGGGAGATGGTCGAGGTCAGGAGGGGAGAGAACAAGGCTACCCCTGATTTAAAGCTGCTCCACGTTTCACACCAGTGCATAAAGCAGGAGGAGGGCTGAGGCTGGAGGAGCCAGAGTCGTTCCAGCTTTGGCCACTATGAGAGCATTTTGTCCATGAGAAGCAGGATCCTGGTCTGGTGTGAAGGAGCAGATCTGGGTCTGTGCTGCCTTCCAGAGAGCACAGAGCTTTAGGTGTTTGTACAGTTACTACACCACAGGGTAAGGCTGCTTCCTTGTTATCCTGCTCCAGAGCCTTGGAAGCAGATGTGTGGGGAGGTAGCAGAGAGCTCTATGATGGCCTTGTGTTGAGGACATGAGACCCTCTTGGCACACTGCTTGCCGACCCGGGACAGGAGCAGAAGTCATCCCCATGCTTTCACCAGGGGATGCTGAGCTGTGTTCATCTTGACTGTTAACCAGAAAGCACCATCTAACATGTCCAGCGCTCTAAAGCCATGTTGTAAGATAGCAGTATCCCTTTTCTACAGCCTTATTGATGAGTAGAGTATCTTTTAAAAGGAGAAAAATGAGTTCATTTCTGTCTGTGGTATGAAACGTGTGTGCTGCGAACATAAACCCACAACTTTCTTACAAAACAAGGAAAACCAACAAAAAAAAACCCAACCTGTCTGCTTTCCATACGGTCTTTCCTCAGGTGCTAAATAAGGGTTCCAAAAACGGATACTGCTTTAGGAGTTTCTGCTTTATTCTTAAAAGACCTATTTTTTTGCTTAGGTGTTGTAAAGATACTTTAACAAGAATGTTGTTTGGGTTCTTTTTTTGATGTAAATAAGATGGTGTCTTTAATTTTTGTTTTCTCTCCTTTTTGTGTCTCTCGAATAGTCTCATTTTCATTTTATCCTTTCGAGAAGGACCCTCTTAAGACCTTCCTTGAAGACATTTCATTAAGTGTTGCTGCATTTAAGAACGACTCTACAACTGTTCATTGTCTTGGATTAATGCTGCTGCTGCTATAAGTAACCCTGAAAATCAAGAATGTGTGATGCACTTTTGTTTTTCCTTTACACGACCATATAGTTCCTCTGCGAGTAGCTAAACCCTGGTGTAAGACAGCCACTAACTGCGGGTAGTGTAGGAACGGGGTCTCCCTGACTTTGGTGCTGACCTGTGGGAACTTCTATGCAAACGCAAGCAAAGGAGAACTCTTAACTTGAGAGATCACTGTGCATTTGCCTTTTGTTGTTGTTGCTTTTTCTCTCCTTCCCTTTTTCAAGCTGCTGTTGGAAAGGGTAGTGCAAATCCCTGAGGTTTTCAGCTTCTCCTTCCTGCCTGGCTGCTGGTGCGGGAAAGAGGCCCAAGTAACTTGTGAGGCAGAAGAATCTCAATCCATGTCTTTGGTTTTAGTACTTCTGTTTGCTAGTTGAGTCTCTCTATGGAAGGAAATTGCTCATCTCTGCAAAAAGATCTTTTTAAGGCTTTACCTCAATGTGAAGTTAACCAGCAGTATTAAAGATCGTGTGGCCTCTTTCCTGCCTGCACCCCCTGCGCTCCACTCACAGGCTCCTTCTCTGGGTGCTGCAGACTGGTTGGTGCCTGAAATTGGGTTGTTTTCCAAGGAAAAAGGCCATCTAACCAGCCAAAACCCGATGGCTGAGGTGTGAGGGAGGTCTTGCTCCATTGAAGTGCTACCACAAGGCACAAGCAGGTCTGGAACCTCTCATCTTACTGGGTCAGACCTGGATCACTGCGGGGGGATGCGACCCTGCAGGAGGAGTTCATTGGAGGGGGAAAAAAGGAATGTACTTTACTATTTATAGAAGATCCTTTAGGAAAAATAGTATCTCTAAAGTGAGGAAAGAATGAGGAAGGTCTAATGTCGTGTAGGAAAAACGCGTGGGGATTACAACTGCCTGGAAAATAGTATATCCATGCATAGGCTAGAACTCTCTGCCTCTTTAATTTAGTTTATTCAGCATCCATTAGTTCTTTTTGGGCAGCGTTTGCTGTTTTACACCCGTGTTTGTGTGTGTGTCCATCTGACTAAATGTGCCTTGCACGTGTGCTTATTCTTTCTGAAGGGAGCTGGTGGCGGTGTGTGAGCTGCTGGGATGGCTGAGCCCTATCCATATCCAAGGGTTCATCCCTGTCCCAGTGACCCATCGGATTGATGGATTGGGCTTGAGCCTGCATTGAGCCCAGCTTACGGTTTGGGGGTGATGTCCTGTGGGGTGGCATCTGTGTCTTTGGAGGGGGTAGAGAAAGAGAAGCTGCTTTGCTGTTCTCCTGCGGTCAAAACCAAGCGTTGCAATGCTTTGCCTGCAAAGCAAGGGCCAGTGATGGTCTGCAAGTGGCTTTGCACTGGAGTTAGGGCTCTGCAGCACCAGGGATCCCGTTACCCGGGGGTTTATTCCCTTCCAGGTTGTGGTTCTTGTTACTGTGGGGTTTTTCTCTTACCTTTTTTGTTGTAAAGCAGAATTAAAACACGCCTTGCTTGACGTTAACGAAATAGGAACGCTTCTGTTTGCAGTCAGTGACTCTGAATACGAAGCTGTGCAGTTCCTTGTTCCTTCATCTCCCTCCCAGCTCACCCCAACGTGTGGTTCCTGCCCCAGTCTTTCTGTGCTCCTGCCCCTGTCAATGTAAAAAGCTTGCTTGCATTATTTCCTAGAGATGCATTTTGCACACCGGGGCTTCGCCGAAGCTCCGCGATGAGGTTAGTTTGAAGCAGATGAATAAAGCTATGCACATGTTCTGAGAGTTTAATTTGTGTCTCATTACCAGAAGTGACTTATCTGCCCTCTTTTGCATTCCTGTGCTGTCATTGCCTGCGTTCTCGTCACCGCCCTGCAGGGTCTGATGGAAGGGGACAGTTCTTTGCTGACAGCTCTAGCAGAGAACTGGCGCTTCTTGATTCTTTATAGTAGCCTCTCCCCTCTCTCTCCTTGGCTTTCTCTGTCTCTGTATAGCTATATAAATATATATATATTATTTTTTTATTTTAAAGAGCCTGTTTTAGTGCTTGGATCAGAGGGAGGGGGTGTCACTGGCCTGGGGTTCAGGTACACTCCTTGTGTGCCCCTTTATCCCTCTGGTTGAGAGTGGTCCCCGCTGTGTGGGATGGGGACAGGGAGCACACAGCTTTGAGGAGGGGATGGAGACGGAGCTGCTGGAGGCTTCTAGTGACAGAATGAGCCCTACCATTGTGTATTCCCACTGTGAGGTGGGGGCAGGTTTCCTCCCTGTGGTCCCTGGAGCGGAGGGGGAGCTCGCCTTGGGCTCTGAGCTTCATTTGGGGTTTGCTTTCACGAGTCGGCTGCCTTGGGTTGCAGGTACCACCTTTGGCAACGTGTTGCTTAGCCAGGATACTGCTTATCCCAGAGCCTTTGTGCAGGAGAAGGGGGGGTTTTGTGCCGGGAGAAGGACCCTGCCCTCATCCTCCTGCTGTTCCCTTCGCCGTGGCAGCGATTTGTACTAACTTGACAGCTTTCTTTCATACCGAACAGGGCTGCTTTTCTATCTCCCATCACACACGTGTACTTACACACCTTCAGCCTCGCTCTGGAGGTCCTCAACTTGTTTACTGGGGGGACGGGTGCCCCCTCTGTCCCCCTCCCCTGAGTATTTCAGTGTTAAGGGCGATGCGAAACACAACCGCGCGCTTCGCCCGTCCCCTCCTGCCTCCCCCATCCACGAGTTCTCATTTCCTTCCCTTTCCTTGTGTATTAAATTCACCACGGAGGGGTTGTGCTGAGTTAACCACGGCCCCTCTTGGTTGTGTGCGACCACACGAGTCTGTAAAGGTAGTTTGTGTTTCCTTCCCTTTTCCTTGGTTATTCCCAATGAGGTTAATGCACTCTGGTGTGCCCAGCTGGAAAGTGTCGGTGTTTTCCCGGTGGTGAAAGGGTGGCTGGAGGAGTTAGTGGAATTCCTGCTGTAGCTGTGTCTGGCGCAGCCCTTTGCGCTGGAATGGGTGATATCACGGACTGTAAGGATAGGTGATGTCCATGAGCTGTAATGGCATGATGTTATCTTTACCAATGATGTCATACTTCACACTAAATGTTTAAAAAAGAAAAAAAAAAACAGAAAAAAAATAAATACCTGGAATTTTGTTTATTCTGCACCAACAGGTCTTCAAAATTTATCCAAATTTTATTATTTTATCAGGAAAAAAACAAACAAACCAGAAAACCCAGAAATTTGTGTAGATCGAATATGTTAAGACAGACAATAAGTGATGTAAATTGTTGAATAAAAGTTTTAAAGTTTGTGGGTGTTGGTGTGAGGTTCTGTTCCGCGCTCTCGGGGGGCATCCCTTGAAGCAGGGATGCTGCAGCGATGGAGACCCCACTTCTGGTCCCTTACGGCCAGCAGCGCCGCGGCTCTGTGTAGGCATGGATGCTCAGTGGGACCAGGAGCTCAGTGTCCTATCCCTTGGCAGGGGAAGGGGAGGGCAGGGAGGAAGAGAAGCCCACACCAAGGGTTTGGCTGCTGTGTTTTGTGTGTGTGAGAGTTGGAGTCTGGTCCCTGCTGCTGGCATGGGGATGTGTGACTGCAGTCCTGATAGACAACAGATACAAGAGGGATGTGGAGCTGTTGGAGTGAGTCCAGAGGAGGCCATGGAGATGCTGTGAGGGCTGGAGCAGCTCTGCTCTGGAGCCAGGCTGAGAGAGCTGGGCTGGGTCAGCCTGGAGAAGAGAAGGCTCCTGAAGGGGAGACCTTAGAGCAGCTCCAGTGCCTAAAGGGGCTGCAGGAAACCTGGAGAGGGGCTTGGGACAAGGGATGTAGGGACAGGACAAGGGGAATGGCTTGAACCTGCCCGAGGGGAGACTGAGCTGAGCTCTTAGGCAGAAGCTCTTCCCTGTGAGGGTGCTGAGGCGCTGGCACAGGGTGCCCAGAGAAGCTGTGGCTGCCCCATCCCTGGCAGTGCTCAAGGCCAGGTTGGACACAGGGGCTTGGAGCAAGCTGCTCCAGTGGAAGGGGTCCCTGCCTGTGGTCGGGGTTGGAGCTGGATGAGCTTTAAGGTCCCTTCACCCCAAACCAGTGTGGGATTCTATGAACAGCATTCACCCACCAAGCTGGTTTATCTTTTTCTTTCAGTCACGTTTATTGGCATTGTGGCAGTCGGTACCGTTGGGGAGTGTTGTTCCAGAAGCACTTGCAGTACAAGAAGGGGTGGTTATTTCGGGAGGGGAGTATTAGCACCAAAAGGGAGCCGGTGAGCTTTAGAAACCTTGCAGAGATGTAGTGGGAAGTGGGGAGCTACTGCTGGACACGCCTGATGGATTGGATCTGGGAGGTCTGGGCGTGCGAACCCCACTCCCTCCAGTGCTTGTAGTCTCCTCCGTGGTGGTCGGCCTCCAGGATGTACTGGTAGCCACGGTACCCGGGATACTGGTAGCAAACCCAGCTGGAAGACAAGGAGTCATCAGGCAGCCATTAAGAGGGATGAGAGGTAAGCAAGGGGGGGTTATGGGGTGTCCCCCCTCCGGTTGTGGTAGCACAGCGATGGCTGTGGTTTGCCCGTGGTGCTTTGCCCATCACTTACGCGCCACACGAGATCTTCATGGAGCCCACTTCGTTGTTGGCCCAGCCCATGGCCTGCAGCGAGGGGTAGTCATCAGCGATCTCCCACTGGCGGCCGATGAAGTTGTCCTTCTCAAAGATGGTGATCCTGGATTCCTTGTGGTTCTGGGGAAAGAGCAAGGGTGAGGGATGCTCCCTCCCTGGCCTGAATGGGGACACGGGGCAAGGGCTGTCCCCCACTATGTCATCGCTTAGAGGGTTTGATGGGGAGGTGATGTGTGGGTTTTTGTAGGGGGAGGCTGGTTTTCCCAATGCCCATCTGTGCGGAGGCGCTCAGCAGGGTGATGCTGAGCCAGGAGGTGTCAGAGCTGTGCCACGGCTCCCATCTCAGGTGAGCTCTCCGCCCGCTCCTCACATACAGACACCCAAAAACCCCCTTAAAAGCTTTAAATTCCACTACAAAAAGAGCAAACCCTGCTGGGCATGGGCAGGGGAAGAGCTGAACCCACCCCACGGAGCCTCTGCCATCTCTGGAGCCCTTGGCACGGCTCTGTTTGCCCTTCCCGACCCCGCTCCCTCGGCCTGGTGCTGACACTGGGACTGGAGGAGGCACGGGAGGGCTCTGTGCCCACCGGGGCACTCACAGCGGAGCAGACGGGGCGGAAGGACATGAGCCGCTCGATGTGGTAGGCGTTGCTGCCGCTCCAGGCGTCCCAGCGCGGGTACTCTCCCCTCTCCAGGATGAACTGCTGCCCGCAGAACCCGGTGTGCTCGTAACCCACCCAGCTGCGGAGGGAGACACAGCGTGCCAGGGCCTCCTGCACCAGCAACCCTGGCACCGGGGCACGGGTGCCAGCAGGAGCTGGGCTCTGGGCTCTGCCCATCCATGGCGAGGAGGGGAAGCGGTGCTGGATGTGGCTGCCCTGCCCCTGGCTGCTCTGGGGTTATACACACAGCTCAGCATCGCATTGGGATGCCCCAGGACAGCCTCTCTCAAAAAGCCTCGTTTCTTGCTTCCCACAAAACACAGCTGGAAAGACCCAAATTCCTGATCCTGTCTCCTTTCTGGCTCCCCCTCTTTGCTGAAAATAGGCAAGGAGAGGTGAGAACGTGATGCCTTCATCCTGCAGGATGTTTTCCAGCCTTGGCGCTTCCCATATGAGATCCTGCCTGTCCCTGGGGTGGGGACATCCCCTTAACAGAGAATGGGATGGGACAATTGGAGTTGAGTGGGGCTGGGGGCTGGAAGGTGATGGCACAGGCTGTGCACACCCCTGCTTATGGGGTATGAGGGGCACAGTGAGCCCGGGGGTGCCAAGAGCCTCTTGCAACTGATCCTAAACAGAGGCCCAATCCCGTGTGGCACAGCCGTGCTCCCCTGTGCAGGGTGAACAGCCTGATTAGGAGCACATCAACTGGAGCAGGGAGCTGATTACGGCGTGCTGTAATCCCATTAGCATTACAAACCCTAAATATAGCAGCACAAATCTCTCCTGTCTGCTCCCCCGCCCCAGCAGGATGCTCGCCATGGGGACCATCCTCACACACAGCGTCTGGAGCAGCTCAGGACGTGGCTTGTCTATGCCAGGGAAGATTCATGTGCTCAGAGAGAAGCCCAGCTCTGCTCCAGACCCCTACCAGTGACTGGGGCAGCCCTGTGCAGGCTGTGGGAAGGCTCTGCTCTGGCCATGCGGGGAGAGCAATGGGGCAAAGCAGGGCTGGGCATTGTGGCAGCTGTGGTTGTCCAGGTGCTTGTTGGGGTTACACAGGCAGGATGGGGACTAGGCTGGGCTCAAGAACCTTGCTGAGTACTGATCTTTGCTGCATCTTTGGGCAGCATCGCCAAGGGGCACTGGTGAGCTCCAAACCTGGCTGCTCCAAGGCTGCAGGAGGGAGTTTTGGATGATGCCAAGAGCATCTCCACTGTCCTCTGGCTGCCTGCTCTACCCTGTCAGGGTGGGATTCCCTGTCCCTATCCTCCCTTTGCTGCAGTGCTTTGCCCCTCACCCCATCAACCCACCCAGGAAAAGCATCCCATCGCCGGGTACTCACGCTCCGCACTCCACCTTCATGGAGCGGATGTTGTCGAAGCCGCACTCCATGATGTTCGGGCAGGCCGAGGTGAACTCCATCCTCTTGCCCTGGAAGTTCTCTTGGTCGTACACAGTGATCTGCAACGCAGACCGAGCTGCGCCGTTGGGCAGTGCCCGGCACCGGCCGCAGCGGGGTTCAGCCCCTCTTTGAGAGGGTCGCGCTCCATCTCCGTGCCGGGATGCGGCCCCGCAGCGCCTCGGTGCCGGCCCCGCTCCGCTCTCCTGCTCACCCCAGCGGAGGTCGGCTCCCGGGGCAGCGCCGCGGTCCGGAGGGAGGAGCGGAGCCGCGCTGGCACGGGCGGGTGGCCGGGCTGTGGCTGGCGGTTCTCCCGGCCTCTGCTCCCAGCGCTCTAGGGCAAAGAGGGAGAACGGGGGGGGGAAAGGGGCCAAGGGGGCTCCCCCGGGGCTGCGGGTGATGCTCTCCTCTTCCCGAAGGCTCCAGCTCCGGTGGGGCGCATCCCATTGGTACACGAGCTCCTCCATCTCGGCTCCCTCCTCTAACTGTGAGCCCGGAGCTATCGCCAGACCCTCGGGGCTGCTCCCCACCATCTCTGCCCTGTCCCCCGTCCCCTTTGCCTGCCTGCACTGACTGCAGGGCGAACAACAGCGTGTGGCTTTCGGGACTGCTCTAACTCCCTGGCACAGGACCGCTGGTTAAGAGCAGGGCTAAGAAGAGGCTTATGGAAAACACCCAAGAGGGGTTTGAGCAGGCGGGAGGCACGTTCCCATAGGCAGAGGATAATGGGGACAGGGATGCTGTCCTTCTGTACCTCCTCCCTGCCTCGTGCCCTGCTCCTGGAGGACTGGTTTTTCCCCCTCTCCTTGTCCCCCACATGAACACAGTGAAAGGAGAGCTAGAAGTGGTGTGAGGACGTACCTTCCATGGGCCCATGGGGACAGGCAGAGGGTTTGTCTGAGCCATCTTTGGTGCTGGAACGGTGTCTGGAAAGGAAGGAAAAGCCGTTGGCACTGCAGTGTGTCCCTGTGCTCCCCTGCGGCTGACAGCTCTGTGCCTGCTGCCCGCAGTGCCTTTTTGAAGGCAGCTGCCCCATTACTGGGACCAGTCACAGCGAGACCCTCTTGTTTGGCCAAAGGATGGGGTTGGGGGACTCTGGAAAACACCTAAAGCGTGGTGCTCCCTTCTCACTGCCGCAGTGTCCCTTTCCTTCTCCCAGCCATGGCACCGGCGTATTGTCTGGCTCCCCTTTCCCCTTCCCATCACTAGGAATAACCCCCCTGCGCTGGAGCAGGGAGCTGTGATGTGAGGCATAGTCTGCCCTGTGCCTGGTGGTCTCCAACAGGCCCCCGGCCCCAGCATCTCAGCAATGCCTCCCAGTGTGCTCCCATGGACGGCCCTGATCAATGATGGGAGACGCCAACCACGGGGGGGTACCAGGAGCAGGATACCCCATGGTAGAGGGGCTCTCACCCCCTGCCTGCCAGCGGGGACGTGTGAGCCTGTCTTTTGCCATGGGGAAGGGCAATGGTCCCTCTGGGTGTCTTTGGGCACCAGGCAGGGGGAAGGTGTCTGCGCGGCAGGGGCGAGGTGGGAGAGGTGCGGATCGGTCCCGGGACTCACCTAGCTCAGGCGGTTACTGCTGCTTCCCCCATGTAATGTTTGCCTACTTCAGCGGCTCGGCTTTTATAGGGTGCTGCTGGCCGGGAGCCGGTGCCAGCGTTTGCAGAGCCGTCAGCACAATGCTTGCTCTGGCATTGTCCTGCTGATCCCCGGAGATTTCAGCTGCTCATCCCCATGGGCTGAGCCACATTCTTGGGGAAAGAGAAAACATAAAACAAATCGATAATAATAATAACCCCCCCCAATGGGGGCGGCTGTTTGCACAGAGAATCTTGGCACCAGTGACCCAACGCTCTGAGCGCTCTGGCATTTTCCAGGGGCAATGCACTGCAGTGTCACAGGGCGCTGGCTGGCACGGTGGGACCCTGTGGGTGGTGGGCTTGGTGAGGGGTGTACCAGGCATTGCCATTGCCTTGGTGGGTCTCCACCTCCGTGTTGGTGTGGACATCCTCTGCTCACTGCGGCTCTGTGGTGGGTAAGGGGGGCTGTGATGCTGCTTATCCCTGGTGGTGTGGGGTCTCCCATGGCTCCACCGAGCCCTGGTGCTGCCCCCCCACTTCCGCACATCCCTGTCCCCATCCTGGGGATGGAGCCGCCATGGGCTTGGGAAGCCTCAGGCCTGCGGTAACCATGGCAACGAGGCACCGCTACGCCCCAGGCCTCATGGTAACCATGACAACCAGGTCCTGGCTGTCCAACACCCTCCTCCCTTCCCTGTGGTGGGGCTCCCCCCAGGCAATGGCGGGGTAAGACCTGGGGTGCCATGGCGGGCAGAGGCCTCAGGATACCATGGCAGGGCAAAGTCCCCAGAGTCCCATGGTGGCCACCAGCCCTGGGGTGCCATGGTGGGCACCAGCCCTGGGGTGCCATGGTGGGCACAGTTCCTTGGTGCCATGGTGGGCACAGTCCCTGGGTTCCATGGTGGGCACAGTCCCTGGATGCCACGGTGGGCACAGTCCCCGGATGCCATGATGGGCACAGCCCCTGTGTGCCATGGTGGGCACAGTCCCTGGATGCCACGGTGGGCACAGTCCCTGGGTACCACGGTGGGCACAGTCCCTGGGTACCACGGTGGGCACAGTCCCTGGGTACCACGGTGGGCTCAGTCCCTGGGTACCACGGTGGGCTCAGTCCCTGGGTACCACGGTGGGCACAGTCCCTGGATGCCACGGTGGGCACAGTCCCTGGGTACCACGGTGGGCACAGTCCCTGGGTACCACGGTGGGCACAGTCCCTGGGTACCACAGTGGGCACAGTCCCTCGGTACCACGGTGGGCACAGTCCCTGGGTACCACGGTGGGCACAGTCCCTGGGTACCACGGTGGGCACAGTCCCTGGGTACCACGGTGGGCACAGTCCTGGGTCCACGGTGGGCACAGTCCCTGGTCTGGTGGTGGAGTGGGTACCACGGTGGGCGCAGTCCCTGGGTACCACGGTGGGCACAGTCCCTGGGTACCACGGTGGGCACAGTCCCTGGATGCCACGGTGGGCACAGTCCCTGGATGCCACGGTGGGCACAGTCCCTGGGTACCACGGTGGGCACAGTCCCTGGGTGCCATGGTGGGCACAGTCCCTGGGTACCACGGTGGGCACAGTCCCTGGGTACCATGGTGGGCACAGTCCCTGGATGCCATGGTGGGCGCAGTCCCCGAGTGCCATGGTGGGCACAGTCCCTGGGTGCCACGGTGGGCTCAGTCCCTGGGTATCACGGTGGGCACAGTCCCTGTGTACCACGGTGGGCACAGTCCCTGTGTACCACGGTGGGCTCAGTCCCTGGTCCTTGCCGGGTCACGAGGCGAGCGTGGCGGCGGGGGCTGCTGCCTCAGCGCACGGCTGCCAGCACGATCACAGCCCGCGTCTGACTGCGCCTTTTGTCTCCCCGCCGGGCAGCGGCACAAAGCAAAGCGCCCTGTCAGCGCTGCCCGCGGCACGGCTGGCGCCCGGCCCGGGGGACCCTGCCGGGGCCCTGCTGCAGCCATGGCACCGGCCCAGCGCTGCCCACCGCGGGGACAGTGAGGTACTGGGGTACAGGGCGCTGCCATGGCGGGGGGAAGCCTTGGTGCGGGCCTTTCCTATCGCTGGGTGATGGAGGTGATGGGGATGGCAAAGGGGGGGCTGAGGCTGTGCACCGACCCCCTGGGCTGAGCAGCAAACGTGGGGCAAGGAAAAGGAGCAGCAGCTCAAGCTGCGCTGCAAACATGGGGCTGGTGGTGGGAATGGTCCTGTAAGGCCACTGGGTCCCATCCCTGCGCACCCTGCTACGTGCATCCCGGCTGCCGGGGGATGGAGCCCGTCCCCTCGTTCCCTTCAGACCCTGGGCCATGGCCTGGCCGCGGCTTTGGCCGCCCCGGTGCGCGGAGGCTTCGGCAGGAGCCGCTAGAGGGAGAGCTCGCCCCGAGCACGCTGCGGCCCCGGCGCATGCGGGTGCGCAGCGCGGTGCTGCCCCTGTGCCCCGTGCTCCCCGCTAAGGGAAACCGCTGTCCGCAGCTCGAGTCAGTGCCAGCGCAGAGCCTGCAGCCAGGAGCTGCCCCAGCCGGGAGCAGCGTACGGGCAGCCCCTGCACACCCTGCAGCGGGCACAGCCAGGGATGCTCACCCTTAGCGGAGAGCAGGACCCCGGTGCACGGCGCTCCCTGCGCACACCAAGCAGTGCTGGTGGGACCGGGAGGGATGGCAGTGAGTGCCTGCGGAGCACGGCAGCGGCGGTGCTGGCGGCTCCTCGGGGTGTCCGGAACAACTGGTTTGTCTACATCCCAGACACTATAAAAAAGCAGTGACCTATTTAGGAAACCCCGCGGTGCTGGGAAACAGATGATTCCCTCCCAGCCCGGCTCTGGGCCCTCAGTGCTCCAGCCGACCATCTGCCGGGGCACCAGAGCTCTGTGCTGCTGCTCTATAGGATGCTTGGGGCTACACGGAGACTTTACCTGGGCAATAGGGTACCTGTAAAACCCCCCTATACCAAGAGAGAGATGCTCAGAGTGGCCCAGTCCCAGGAGAGAGGCTGGTGAGGGTGGATGGGATCTTACAGACACCTTGCTGGAAGCATGGAGGTGTTTAGCCCTGTGGAAGAGGCAGGAGGGTGGCACCACTGGGTGACTGCTTGTGGCAGGGCTGTGTCACACCGGAGACCCCAACACTCAGCAGTTCCACCCCGCCACCGCCTGCCCTGCATGGTAAGGAAGCAGGAGCTGCCGCAGGCTGGTGCTGGGGGGCGCAGCGCAGAGGGGCACTCACACAACGTGTTCCCAAAGCAGTGCAGCTGGAAACCCCCCTGCAGCTCCAGCCCATCGGACCCCATCCCTGCTCTCCAGACGCTGCCGTTCCCTGCGCTGGGCACCACGTGCCTGGGACAAAGGGAAGTGTGACAAAAGCAGGCGGCTGCGCTCGCTGCAAGAGCTGCATCTCCTCCTGCACTGCATCCCGCAGCACAGGGCCCGGAGCAGCGCCCTTCCTATGGCCACCAGCTCCTTCCCACACACGGGTTGCTCTGCTGCTGTGTGCTGGGGACGTGCTGTGGGCTCAGTGCTGCAAGGAATGGGGCTTGTGACACCCAGCAAGTGTGTCCTGAGAGTGGGGTGAACCTGGTGCTACCCCCAGTGCACAGAGGATGACAGGAGCCTGGCAGGGCTCGGCCTCTTGCTAGCACACAGCCCAGCACGGCTGCCCAGCAAGGGAAGGTGGTGAGGCTGTTGCATTCACGGCTTAATAGCAGGAGAGCCAGGACCACACAGCTCAGTCCAGCTCAGCCTCCCATGGATGGTGGTTGGGTTTTGGAGCCCTCTGGATGCCCCAGGGCAGGGCAGGAGCCATGGGGGTGGCAGGGGTGGTGCTGGGGCAGACCCCTGTGCCCATAGCTTACTCTGTCCGTATGGGGCTTTCCAGCCAAGGTGATGGGCACCCTGAAAAGAGCTTTTGGGAAGAGCTTGTGGATGCTGATCTCTGGGGTCGCTGTTCCCAAAGCCCTGCTGGGTCACCCATGTCCCATGAGGTGGCCTGGCTGCTCCTGCATGCAGCAAGGGAGCTCCCATGCAAGGGAGCCGGTCTCAGCTCAGACTGCAGGGCTTGGCCCGAAACCCTCTGCCCCAGCACGGGTGGTGGTTGTAGGGTCTGCAGGATTTTATCTGTACCTGAGTGACCCCAGTGCGATGTCCCAGAGCTAGATAACAGTGGAAGGACTGTAACAAAGGCTTTGCTGGGTGATGCTCATCGTTAATCCCGTGCTGTCTCCCGGCCAAGGCACCATCCCGGTCTGCTCACAGCCCTCCCTGCCGACAGGGGAGCAGCATGGGGAGCAGCACCAACCACACCGTCCTGCTCTGTATTCCTGCCAACGGGCACCAGCCGCCCTGCGCCGGACCAGGCTCTGTTCCCTGTAGGATCCTGCCGAGGAGGGGAACCCCAGGAGCGTGGTGCGATGTTCATCAGTGCGAGCACACGGCGGGCTTCCAGCGTGGGTTGGGATGGCTTGGCTTGTGTTGTGCTTGCTGCAGGGTGCGGACGCTCCCGGCCCCGCACCGGGCAGTGCCCACCCGCACGGTGCTATAGCGGGGTGCGGGGATGCGCAGGACGCTCTTTACCGTCCCGAGCCGTTCCGTTCCGTTCCGTTCCGCTCCGTTCCGCCCCATGCCGTTCCGTGAGCAGCGGCGCGCGCACAGCCGGCAGTGCCCGCCCCGGTGCGGACCCGCCCCGCCCCGCTCCGCCCCGCGCCGCCGCCGCCGGGGCCCGGCACCGCCGCCACCAGCACCGGGCCCCGCAACGCCGCCGCCACCGCCACCGGTGAGTACCCGCAGCAGCCCCCCGGGACCGGGACCGGGACCAGAACCAGAGCCGGCCCCGGGGCAGGGCACAAACCGCACCGCGCTATGCGGGGCCGGGTCCGTCTGCATCGCACCCCCCTCCTCTCCCCTCCCCGAGCGGGCCGGGCTGTGCTCCCCGGGCTGTGCGTGGGTGCCCGTGCCCGTCCCCCCGGAGCCGTTGCGGGGTGCGCGGATGCTGTTGCATGGCCCGCTCTTGTCTTGCAGCGCCTGTGGTTGTGCATCCCCCGGTGCTGTGCGTGTGTGTCTGTGTGTGTCGGCCCCATTGTGTCACCTTGTGCGTGCCCCCCCCGTGGCGCTGCGGGCCGGGTTTGTGTGTACACGCACCCCCCCTCTCGTTGCACTGCAGCACCTGTGTGTTTACTACTCGTGCAGTGGGGTTTGTGAGCTCCACTGGGGGTGCTGGGGGGGCACAAACCCGCTGTGTGCTGTGGGACACATGCCAGCGTGTCCCTGCAGGGTGCCCTGTGTTGGGTACCTAATGATGGGTGTGCAATGATGGATGCTTCATGATGGGTGCCCCAGCACCTGCAGTGAAGC